ATTTATGTCCTCTTTTTCCCACAAATAGGTTACTTTTGGTGGTAGTTGATCGCCTCTGCGGTTTTTATTTTTTGCGCTTTAATCAACAAAAATACCGTCAATTTGCTATAAAACATATCCAGTAAAAAAATTTAAGATCTCAAATTTTGGCATAAATTTAGGCCAAAATGTACAGTTGCAAGAAAAAGTATGTGAACCCCTTGGGATTACGTGGAGTTTTGCATGAATTGGGCATAAAATGTGCTCTGAACGTCATCTAAGTCACAACAATAGAAGAACACAGTCTGCTGAACATAATACTACAAGAACATTAGATGTTACCATGGTTTAATTGCACATAACATGTAAACATTCACAGTGCAGGGAGGAAAAAGTATGTGAACCTTTGGACTTAATAACTGGATGACCCTCCTTTGGCAGCAATAACCTCAACCAAACGTTTCCTGTAGTTGCAGATCAGACCTGCACAACGATCTGGAGTAATTTTGGACCACTCCTCTTCACAAAACTGTTTCAGTGTAGCAATATTCTTGGGATGTCTGGTGTGAATTGCTCTCTTAAGGTCATGCCACAGCATTTCAATCGGGTTGAGGTCAGGACTCTGACTGGGCCACTCCAGAAGGCATATTCTGTGCTGTTGCAGCCATTGTTTTGTTGAATTACTTGTAAGCTTTTTGGTCATTGTCCTGTTGCATCACCCATCCTCTGCAGAGCTTCAGTTGGTGGACAGATGGTCGTACGTTTACCTGCAAAATGTCTTGATAAATTCTGGAATTCATTTTCCCATCAATGACAACAATCCGTCCAGGCCCTGAGGCAGCAAAGCAGCCCCAAACCACGATGCTCCCTCCGCCATGTTTAACAGTGGGGATGAGGATTTGATGTTGTTGTGCTGTGCCTTTTTTTCTCCACACATAGTGTTGTGTGTTCTTTCCAAACAACTCAATCTTGGTTTCATCTGTCCACAGTATATTTTGCCAGTAGTGCTGTGGAACATCCAGGTGCCCTTTTGCAAACTTCAAATATGCTGCAATATTCTTTTTGGACAGCAATGGCTTCCTCCATGGTGTCCTCCCATGTACTCCATTCTTGTTTAATGTTTTCCTTATTGTAGATGTGTCAACAAAAATGTTAGCATGTGCCACAGATTTCTGTAGGTCTTTAGCTGACACTCTGGGATTCTTCTTTACCTCATGCAGCATTCTGCGCTGTGCTCTTGCAGTCATTTTTACAGGACGACCACGCCTAGGGAGAGTAGCAACAGTGCTAAACCTTCTCCATTTGTAGACAGTCTGTCTTACCGTGGACACATGAACATCAAGGCTTTTGGAGATACTTTTGTAACCCTTTCCAGGTTCATGCAAGTCAACAATTCTTGCTCGTGGGTCTTCTGAGAGCTCTTTTCTGCGAGGCATGGTTCACATCAGACAGTGCTTCTTGAAACCAGTAAACCCAAAACAGGTGTGTGTTTTGTAAGGGCAGGACAGCTGTCAGCAACACATCCAATATCATCACACTGATTGGAGTCATGGTTGGCTCACTCCTGGCTCCAATTAGCTCTGGGAGAAGTCATTAAGCTAGGGCCTCACATACTTTTTCCTCCCTGCACTGTGAATGTTTACATGTTATGTGCAATTAAACCATGGCAACATCTAATGTTTGTGTAGTATTATGTTCAGCAGACTGTGTTCTTCTATTGTTGAGACTTAGATGACGTTCAGAGCACATTTTATGCCCAATTCATGCAAAACTCCATGTAATCCCAAGGGGTTCACATACTTTTTCTTGCAACTGTATTCTGCTATTTAAAAAAAAAAAAAAAATCCCAATACGTGTAAATGAATTGGTTTACATGAAAGTTGGTGTCTACAAATGGTGATATATATACTGGAATTTTTTTTTTTAATACTAGTAATGGCAGTGATCAGCGACTAATAGCGGAACTGCAGTGGGCATTCTGACACTGGGAGGGGGGGGGGGGGGACAAACTGTCACTGACATCCCCAGTGACACTGGGCAGGAAGGGGTTAACATCTGGGGCAATCAATGGGTTCATTGCGTGCTGTTTTACTGTTACAGTGTAAGCACATTGCTTTGTATTGCTCAATACAATACTAAGCAGTGTGCTGGAGCTGACAAGGGAGAGATCTGTATTGTGTACATACAGACCTCTTCCTCATCAGTGATACACAGCGATCGTGGGAGAATCACTTGTCGGGACCTGGTGATCGAAAGCTGAAGCCGCCAATATACATGATTTTGCGCAGCCCTGCAGCAGTATTTCTGTTATTGGGGGGCGGGCAAGCATTAAAAGTGTTTCACTGCGCAATGCTTTTCAGGGGGCAGCCACTAGTGTCAATGAGCCCTAAGAACTAAGTGGGACAGAAAAAAAATGACATGTAATCTTCACAAGGAATTGTGGTAAACAAACTACATCATCTCAGACATAAAGGCTGAATTCACACACAACGCACAGCTGCTGGAGAGATAAACCACTGCAGCAGGGGACAGCTGTTTTTTTTTTTTTTTAATGTATTCTTACAAACTTTATTTGAAGTGTACACTTCCTTCATGGCACTGTACAGAGGTGCCATGCAAGCTTGGCTCTGACTTGTGTCTGTTTACACCCACCCGCCTACCTCTAATTTGATCTGATGCGGCAAAAAACAAACAGAAGAGAAAATGTTTTCCTTTGTCTGGCTGGATCGGAGGGCAGTCAGGTGTAAACTACAGTCGGTCTGTTTACATCTGCCTGCCCATAGAGCAGAGCGGGCTATGTCCGTGGACATGGACCTGTCATCCACTCACTCTGCTCCGTGCTCAGCAAGAAATGAGCGGACAGATCCCCTGCTGAGAAAAAACCTGATTTGGCCCGTTTGAAAGTGGCCTTAGCGTTCTCAAAATAAGGCATTAAAAGGCATAAATGCCATTGGCAGTTAAGACGTCTAATCACTAGATGTCATCACAATTAGTATGACATTCACAGTAATTTAGTAGACAAAGAACAGCACATCTACTACATTTATATTGGTCAAGCAAGAATATAAGCTGCCTTACAATATTAGACCACTAGATATCATCATAAAAACTCCAGCAATAAAGTGCATCCAAAAAACAACACATTTATTATATTGCAATGGCCTCTAGAACTGACAGGCCCAGTAGAAAAACACATATAAACAAAATAAAGCAATAAAACAAACCCCATGTATAAAAACATGTACACCCCATAAACAAGACAAAATGACTTGACCATATAAAATAAGTATTTCATAGCCCTTGACATCAGTTCCATCAATTAAAAGGAAAACGGAAAAACCAAGGAACTGGGACTTTTCAGGTGCTGATCTTCAGACAGAAATAGATATTGAAAAACAAAACAAACTGTATTTTAATGAAAAATATGCAAAGTGTATTACAATTCAAATAAAGTTTATTTATTGTTCTCTTTAATATTTATTTTTATATGATAAATAGCATCCAAAAAGTCCCAGTTATTTGGTTTTTTTTCCCTTTTTTGTTTATCTTCTCAGGGATGTGGTACTACAAGGACAGAGGCTAAGGTATAGTACATGCACCGTTTAGAGGATATTTAATTTACCAGTACTGGTGATGTCATCAGCATATGCGCACTGCACTCTCAATGGATGGCATGCTATCTTCTTCGAGACCTGTGCCGCGGCCGTGACTCCTGCCTGCATGCGCGAGAGTTATCACGGCTTGGCCATTCACATGGATGCAGCCCATGAAGATGGAAGCCCTGTCAGCAGTCACAGCGTACCGCTGGAGGGCTTCGTTTTCAGGAAAGTCTTTCATAATGTTCTAGTATGCATCGTAAAACATGAGCTTAACTTGCAGGGATACTTTTTTTTTTCTGCGGTTTACTACCACTTTAACTAAGTGCCAAAAAAGCAATTTAGGTCCAGCTCCACATTTAAACCTTTGGGCTATATGGTAATCTATTAAAAAAGATCCAAATCTAAATTAGAGCCATATCACAACCCAAAAATACCACAAAAAACCGCAAAATGTTAACAGAATAATATCCTAATCATGGGCTTATTATGAGCTAGCCTGAAAATGGCTTGAAACACTATGCTGTTTAAATCCTTTTTTTATGTTAATATGCGCCCCCACACCCTCTGCTGTAGTCTCCTGGTTGTTCCATCCACATATTGATACCCGCAAGGGCATTCATAAACATAGGTCCCTCCTAGATTGTGAGCTCCAAGGAACAGGGCCCTCCTTTCCCTCTTGTATTGAACTGTATTGTCTCCCTTTATATTGTAAAGCGCCGACCAAACTGTTGGCGCTATATAAATCCTGTATTATAAGAATAGGTAATGTGTGTTGAGTAACATACAATATGTTATTTAATATTGTAACTTCTCTTAGTGGAATTGTGAAATTCTTCCCATACCGATACCGCTTTGTAAGCCACAAACTCCAGCATGGGTAGTAGTATCCCACATCATAGTTACATAGTTTGGCTGAAAAAAAGACAAAAGTCCATCCAGTTCAACAATTAAACAAAAAAAAAAAAAAGTTATAATCCTATACCCACAGTTGATCCAGAGAAAGGCAATAGTCCCCTATGTGACAGCATATGACTGACAGGTCCTCTTTGTAGTGGGGAGGGGGTGGGGGGCAATGTGTGCAAGGAGGGGGCAGGAGAGGAGCAGTGTATACAAAGAGGCTCCCTCACTGGCTGTCACTATATGTTGGTGTCGGTTTTTAAATGCAATTGCCGGCTTTTTTTTTTCCTTCACTATAGCTTACAGAATTAGCTCTCACTTTCCCGGAGCTAAAGGAAACCTTGTTTCTTTTATCTCGGGAAAGAAACTAAAAGGAAAATTTGTTTCTTTTAGCTGGGGGGAAAGAGACAGCTAATTCTGTCAGCTATAGTGAAAAGAAAAGCCAGTAATTACATTTAACCACCTCCCGCCCGCCATATTGTCCAATGACTGGCACAAGGTGGTTCTCTCATTCTGGAAGGACGCCATGACGTCCTCCCATTCTCACCATGCATGTGCGGCTCCGAGAGCGCACAGCGATCGGCGGTACGCTGTGTCCCTCGGACACAGCAGATCACCAATTCACGGAAAAAGCCGAAGACGTCGGCTCGGTCATGTGATCAGCTGTGTCCAATCACAGCTGATCACATGTAAACAGGGAAATGCCGGTTATGGGTATTTCTCTCCTCACGAGCTGTCACGTTGACAGCTTGTGAGGAGAGGAGAGCCGGTAATCGTCATTCCTCGGAGGGGACATGTACACAGATCATCAGAGCACTGATGATCAGTGTGCCCTGATGATCTGTGTAGCCCCAGCAGTGCCACCTGTCAGTGTCCATCAATGCCAGCTCTCAGTGCTCATCCATGCCACCTGCCTGTGTCCATCAGTGCCTACCAGTGCACATCAATGCCACATATCAGTGCCCATCTGAGCTGCCTTTCAGTGTCACCCATCAGTGCTGCCAATCAGTGTGCATCAGTGCTGCCTATCAGTGCCCGTCAGTGCTGCCTTTCAGTGCCCATCAGTGCTGCCTGTCAATGCTCATCAGTGCCACCTACCAGTGTCTCCTCATCAGTGCCACCTATCAGTGCCCATCACTGCAGTCTCATTAGCGCACATAAGAGAAGGAGAAAAATCACTTATTTACAAAATTTTATAACAAAAACTAAGAAAAAACATTTTTTTTTTCAAAATTTTCAGTGGTTTTTGGTTTGTTTAAGAAAAAATAAAAAACCCAGAGGTGATTATATACCACCAAAATAAAGCTCTGTTACAAAAAAAATTATAACAATTTCATATGGGTACAGTGTTGCATGACCGCGCAATTGTCATTCAAAGTGTGACAGCACTGAAAGCTGGCAATTGGCCTGGGCAGGAAGGGGGTATAAGTGCCCTGTAGGCTAGTGGTTAAAAACCGGCACTGACATATAGTGACAGCCAGTCACTGTATACACTTCTCCTCTCCTGCCTCTCTCAGCCGTCCCCCCCCCACCCATCTGCAGTAAACAGTCTCCTGTATAGGCTGAATTTTTCCTATCAGCAAATTTCAGTGGCTGAAATTTCGGTGCATCCCTAGCTAAAGGCACAAGTACAGGCAGCTAGTCTACACACAAAAAGCTTCTATAATTGTATTTATTTCCAAAGCAGGGCTTACCATAGAGTCATCTTTAAAAAAAATCCAACATTCTGAACTCGGTGCTTTATCACATAGTATGGACTATTTACACACAAGACATCATAAAACCCTTGTAATACAAAATCACTTGATATTAGCTTTGGCCAAGTCCTCGGGCATGATGCGCCCTTTCTTTCGTGCTCTGCTCTTCTTTTTCTCTATTTTGGCCATTTTCTTCTTTTTGATGTTGCGTTTCCTCTTTTCCTGCCGCTGTTGCATCCTCTCCGTAGTCTGCACCATTCGCTTGTCCCATTGCTTTTTTCTCTGCTCCCGCTGCTTCTCCTTACGCTTCAGAGCAGTTTTTAACATCCCTTCATCATCTTTGATCTTCAGTCCTTCAGCTTTATACAACACATTAGTCCATTTAATTTTAGATTCAAATTCCTTGGCTTTCTCTTGGTCTTTTGCCCTTAGTTCTTCCAGCTTACTCTTTCGCGCCTCTAGGCGATTCAGCAGCTGTTTGTAGTTTTTGCCTGTCATGGGCGTTATATGCCCCTTCACCCTTTCTTTCTTCTCCTTTATCTGCAATATTTTATTGAGAGGTTCATCATGGACTTCCACCTTGTTGAAAACTAGCGGGACCAGATGCGTCTCTTCAATATCTTCTTCTACAGTCTGCTCCACTTCAATAGCCTCACCCTCTTGTGTCTCCTGCAAGGCTTTAAGTTTCAGCTCCTTCTTTTTTCTTTTCTTCCTCTCTCTCTCATGTTTCCTCCTCTGGCGTCTTTTCTCAATTTCTTCTGTTGAAAGAGATTTGTTGGAAAACTGCAAAAAAAAAAGTTAGATTATTAATAGTCGCTATCAGTGAGTAGAAGGGTTCTGTATAGCAAGAACAAGAGAGACTAAGCAACTTGAATATATGAAAACTCACTAAGGGCTGTTATAGAAGCACCCATGTGCTGTTTCTACAGTTTCCACAGTTATAGCCAAGAGACTGATGTCCAAAGCTTGTTAAATATTATTGTCCGGCAGGGCGGCAGCTATAGGCAAAGCGATGTACCCGTACGTTGCTCTTGCTATAGTAACACAGGGGGGCGCTGCGGGCGCACAGTGCTCCCCCCTCGCGACTGCTGTGTCCAGCGGAATCAAGATCTCGGTGAACGGGATCGCTATGCAATCACAATGTAAGCAAAGCTGTTATCAATCAATCTCATTCATAACAGCTTTTCTCCTCTTCCTAGTGAGCTGCGATTGGCCCTAAGCTGTCACATGATACATGGGGCCAATCACAGCACCCTGTACCATGTGACCAGCTCCAGCCAATCACAGTTCACTATCCTGAGCTGTCAAAACTTAACTCATTCATGACAGTTCACGAATGAGTTAGGTTCATGACAGCAAGCTTTGCATTGCAGGAGAAATTATCTTTATTTCTCCTGAAAAGCAAAGTGAAAAAAGAAAAAAATACCCTGATCACCCTCCCCCCCCCACAGTAGTACAATGTTAGTAGTAAAAGTATTAAAAATAATAAAGTTATACCATATTGAGAATTTTTTTTTTTCTTAACTACTTGCCAACCGCTTACCCTCATTTTGCAGGCAAGCAGCAGCTCTTAGCAAAGTGATGTAATCTTGTGTCACTGTCAGGGATGCGGGTGTGACCAGAAGTGTGTGGACTGACACAGGGAAACTTAGGCTTCAGATATAGTAAATAATATAATTTGAGACTAACAATACAAATATTAACGCAGTGCACCAAACCCCAAGCTAACACAAATACATACAACAAGGTGAAACAAACCCAAACCTAAACTAATATAGATACACAGGTACATACACATATAGAGCACAACGTAGTCAGGCAGGCCGGGTCAATAACTATCGGGCAGGTAGGTACAGGAGGAGCAGGCGGAGAGAATGGTCAGGGTCACAAGCCAGGGATCAAACAGGAGAAGTCAGCAGAGGTCAGGATCAGGCAGGGTCGGCAACAAGTCAGGCAGAAACAGGAACAGGAATGCAGGTTACAAGATACAGGGGCCCATGGAAAAACACACACCAAGGCCCTGACTGTGAGTCTGGCCATTCCTTAAATACAACCCCTGCAGTCAGCTTCAGGTGTTTTGGCTGACTGCAGGGGTGAGTCTCTGATTGCTGAGAGCACCCGCTGGCCAGCCCTGGTACTGCAGCCCACAAGGCAGGTGAGTCCCACCGTTATTGGCAAGTCCATTCCTGACAGTCGCTTCCTATTTGGAATGTGCACACACCTGCACCCCCTACCCGTCAGTCCAGGGAGAGAAGAGTGAACACGGCACCGAGTAAAAGCACTACATTTTACACACACATTAGATTAGCACATTTAACCCTTTGATCGCCTCTATTATCCCTTTGATCACCCCATCACCCAGGCAGTGCCATTAGTACAGCGTCCGTGTATAGAATTTTTCACTGTATTCCTGCCACTAGCTATATCAAATAGTGTCAGGGTCAGTAAGCGTCCCACCCAGCCAGGGTCAGCTAGCGTTAGATTGCCTGCACACTATCACGCTCTAGGTTGCTGATCACCACCATTACTAGTATAGTGTTTGTACGGATCAAGATATTGATCACGTACAGAACTATACTAGTGCCTCCGTTGTATAGTGTCGCCAAAAACCAGAGACTTAGCAGAATTGGCCCCATTTCGCTGAAAGCACTAGCGTTTAGCCCCTCTGCTGTTTTTCATGGAAGATTTGTTTCAATTGATTGTGGGCCAAGGCAATTTATATGCAACAACACATTGCTGCCCACCCAAATTCAGCTCTTGCCAAGCAATTCACTTGGAAACCTATCACGGTTTCTGAATGTAAAACTCTTTTGGGCCTAACCCTCAAAATGGGCATTACAAAAAAGAATGAATTACGGTCATATTAGTCCATAGACCCAATTCATCATATGCCCATGTTCTATATAATGGTACATCTCTGGACTTTGAGTAGTTATACCTGGATGATGCCTGCAGCTACAGGCATCATCCTGGTATTGTTTTTTTCAGCTGGCGGTCGGCTTTCATGTAAAAGCAATCCTAGTGGCCAATCAGTTGCTGAATTGTTTTTTATGAGCAGCGGGAAGGGACATCACCTCCCCCCCCCCCCCCCCCCCCCCCCCCCCCACACTTCTTTTGGTGGTATTTAATCTCCACTGGGATTTTTTTTTTGCACTGTAAATTAAAAAAAAGAGCAAAAAATTTGAAAAGTTTCCTTTTTGTTTCGATTATAAAATTTTGCAAACAGGTAATTTTTCCCCTACACTGATGTGTGTTGATGAGGCTGCACTGATAAGCAGCACTGATATGCAGCAATGATGGGCAGTATTGACTGATGGCACCGACGGGCACTGATTATTAGTGGAGATTTCCCCTGTCACATTTGCCGGTTATGACAGCGTGAGGAAAGTGCAGCGATAACCGGCAACTGTATATACACTGTGATCTGTTGACATTGGACATAGCTGATCACATGGTAAAAGGCCGCTGTGATTGGCCTTTTACCTAATTACGTGATCAGCTATGTCCGTTGGACACAGCGATCACCGACAGTACTGGGTGCACGCCGCTGGGGGCGCGTTCTGGGAGGACGTCCAAGGACGCCCTCCCAGAACTGGATAACCATGCTGTAGCCGTCTTTCGTCTTTAGCACGGTTGAGAAGCGGTTAAATAAGAAGAAAGATTTTTGTTTTCAGCAGCCCGGTTGCCTATCATGTATTGTCTCCCCAAGATTCATAAGAATCAGTCACATCCCCCTGGAAGACCAATAATAAGCAGTATTGGCTCTCTTTTCTTCACGGTACCGGAGTACATAGATTTTATTCTTCAACCGTTGGTTTTTGGTGCACCCACTTTTTTGAGGGATACCAAACAGGTTTTAAGAGATGTGAGTAACATCGCAGTGAATTCCTTTACCTTTTTGGTAATGGTAGATGTCGCCTCCATACGTAGCAATATTGGGCATAGTGATGGTATGGAGGCTGTGGAATATTACTTAAATGAAACCGATATCCCTGAGGTGCAAGTGTTATTTATCTTAGAACTACTCGACTTTACCAAGACCTATAACTATTTCTAGTTCAACAAGAGGTTCTATCTACAAACCAGGGGTGTTGCCACGGGAGAAAAAATTTCTCCCAGTTTTGGTGAATTTGTTTATGGCTAGATGGGTAGAGGACATCATCTATTCTAGAGATTGGCTGGAACTTATTTTCTACCGGCGGTACATTGATGACGTCTTGCTCCTGTGGCAGGGGAGTGAGGAGTCTCTCAATTTCTTTGTGACTTTGAAAAATAATCTTATTAAATTGTCACACACCTATAGCCTTCAAGAAATTAATTTTTTAGACCATAACATTGGTTAATGATGGCACTAAAATCATCACCAAATCTTTTTTTTAAACCAACAGATAAGAACAGTTATATTTCCATTGACCGCTGCCATCACCTCCTGTGGCTCGATAATATACCCAAAAGCCAATTCATGAGGATGAAGTGGAATTGATATGATTTAGGAGATTATTATGCACAGAGATTCTGAAAAGTAGGTTTGTAAAAAAAGGATATGATTTAAGTACTCTTTATAATTTAATCCAACAAGTAGCCACTATGGATAGAGAGTCTGATAACCTTACAGTCAGACAGGTCACACGATCCTATGGTTTTGCCCCTTTTTAGAACTAATTTTTCCATCCAACATACACAGGTTAAGAACATCATTAGGAAACAATGGGGGATTTTAAAAGGGGATCCAATTTTTGCCAGCTTATTACCCAAGAAACCGGAAAGAGTTTTCCGTAGGGCACCCACCTTGAGACAATCTGACCCCCAATGTAGTCAATCCGCCTAAAGAGATAACGTTGTTTGCTGAATTAAAAGGTTTTTTTCCCTGTAATAAATGCATCTGATCACTGTATTGGTGTCACTGGGGATGTCAGGGACACCAAGTCAGTTCCTCCCAGTGTCAGAATGCCCGTCGCAGTTACGCTATAAGTTGCTGATCGCCGCCATTACTAGTAAAAAAAATATATTTTTTTTTTCTTAATTCCAGTATGTATATCGCCATTTGTAAACGCTATAAGTTTCAGGTAAACCAATTAATTTACACATATTGGAATGTCTTTTTCAGCAAAGACATGTAGCAGAATACATTTGTGGCCTAAAGTTGATTTTTTTAAAAAAAAATTTATTGGACACGTTTAATAGCAAAAAGTCAAATATATTGTTTCTCGAAATTGTGGGTATTTTTTTTTATTTATAGCACAAAAAGTAAAAAATGCAGTTTGGGTGCAGCGTTGCATGACCGCGCAATTGTCAGTTAAAGTAACGCAGCGCCGTATTGCAAAAAATGGCCTGGTCAGGAAGGGGGATAAATCCTCTGAAGGGCAAGTGGTTAATATGTATATTTTTGTTTTGATTTATCCTTTATGGCTTGGTTTGTTAGAATAAATTTGTGATGTTTGTTATATTAATTGAACATCAGTATAGGACTGAGTGGGTTTTTTTCTTTAAATGGACTGCTTGTTATTTGGCATGAATTTTTTAATATATAATGTTTCTCCTTTGGCGTCTTCTGATAGTGGTTAATCAATCTTGATTAGCTTCAAAAACCTAAAGAATAAACATAACTGTTCTATAACTGTTTTTTTCAGTCCGTTATTTTGGTAATGTCTTTTGTTTTGAACTATTGTTTTATGGCGCAAGCTTTTTGATCCACGACAACATGGAATGCGCTAGTTCCCGCGACGCTTGCAGGCTATTTAAGGAGGCTACACACGACAACAGCGGTAGGCACATCCCCTGAA